TTTGGGCCATATCCTCGATAAGGGCACTAGCTTCAGGGTAAGGTTTGTTCATCAGTGCGCCACCAGCGGCAGCGTCGATGGTCATTTTAGTGTTATAAAGAAGTCCATTATAGAAGGTTTGGATGATTAGCCAATTCTCTAGGCCATGGTGTGGGCATGCTCTTAATAGTTCTTTATATCTCTCCCAGGCTTCGAACAACGACTCTCCTTGGTGTTGGGTAAATCTAGTTATTAGGTTTCGAAGAAGAGCGGTCTTACTTGGGGGAAAATATCTAGCAAGGAAAACTTTTCTAAGGTCATCCCAAGTTGTTATTGAATTAGGTGGAAGGGAATCTAACCATGATAGAGCTTTATCTCTGAGGGAAAAGGGAAATAATCTTAAGCGTATTGCCTCAGGAGAAGCTCCATTCGTTTTAAAGGTGTCTGCTAATTGAAGAAAGTTTTTTAAATGTTGGTTCGGGTTATCAGTAGCGAGACCTGCGAATTGTCTCTGTTGCACTAATTGCAGCAGGGATGGCTTAAGTTCAAAATTATTGGCTGGGATAGCGGGGTTTACTATACTGGAACTAGGTTCCTCGTTTGATGGTTGGGCGAAGTCCTTAAGAGGTCTTCGATTTTGATCTTAGGCCATAGCTCTCCTATTCCTATGGAAAAATAAACGTGCGCGAGCGTAACGTTCAGGTTCAGCTAGAGGGTCTACTAAACTTCCGGCACTGCGAGTCTTTCGCATTGACCGGTGGGTAACAACCTTAGTCTAAACGGTATAACTACAGGGTAATGAAATTTGACGATATTGGTCCCCGGAAACGGCGCCAAAAACTTGATGCGTGTTTTTCGCAAGTGTACGAATCACGTCAAAGTAATATAAAAGATTATCGAATCCACAGAGACCAAGTGTCAATCTATCGTACCTGTTGTTATGGTGTTTATCTAAGGCAACTATTTTTAAGGGTTTTAGTAAGGGTGCAATGGTAAATAAAATTATAATTTTAAATAATAAATAAAAGACAGGCTCGAATGTAATTCACGTAATCAATGATAATCCAGTACTTGTTAATGGAACTACTTATGGGCAATGTTTTCTCCTTTGAAAAGAACTAATTTAACAGGAACTGTCGCTTTTGCGTATTCAGAACCGAGTTGTACTCTCTAATCAACCTCTCCTATTGTCACGGATAAAAAGGTGCGTACTGCGTTAGAGTAGTAAACCTATTTTTAAGAAATATAGTTTCTTAACAAAGTTGAAAAGTATTTTAACCTGGACTTCTTAGCAAAAAGAGGTTCTTATGAACCAGACTCTAAATCTCATAACGCGTCCGAAAATCGTTTTAAAATCTCTTTTCTTTTTAATCTAAAAACTCCTAATGAACTATACAAAGCGCTTTTGGCTGTTTTTGAAATAGTTAAAAACAATTACATGAATTGAAAGATAAAATAGCCCTTAGGTGTTTCCACGAACAAGTATACTGATTACTGGTTTAATTACGATCCTTACATTCTAACCTTTATGGGATTAGTTAGACATGATAAAGTAAATGTTCTTTTTATAGTTTTTCATATGAGTAATTTAAAGCGAGTGCGGGAAGTGAACAAAGTAAATGTGCGAGTGCGGGAAATAAACAAAGTAAATGTGCGAGTGCGGGAAATAAACAAAGTAAATGTGCGAGTGCGGGAAATAAACAAAGTAAATGTGCGAGTGCGGGAAATAAACAAAGTAAATGTGCGAGTGCGGGAAATAAACAAAGTAAAGTGCGAGAAAACAAATAAAAGTAAAGCAATGCGGAAAAATAAAATACTAACTGGAATTAAAATGGCGGCAGGATTAACTTCCTCCAGAGTGCTCCAAAACTCGAACCACAGACAGATTACAGACTCGATCACTCGATTGCAGAGGCACCCCGATGTGGAATGGCAACTGCTTTATAACTGATATATGCCTAGAGAATTCTAATTCTGGATGAAGAAAAACGAAAATCTAAGGTCCTATTTATAGTAAAAACTGAAAGCATGAAATGACCGGGACGCCCCTCCACTAAAAAGTGGAGGTTATGAAATTTTGCCTTGTGGCGCCCGCCACAAGGTCATGGCGCCCGCCATGGTCCCTACAGGGGATGATGGAGTGGGGATCGTGGGTCTTGGAGGTTGAGGAGTGGTCTTGAGACGTGGCCACGTCATGGCTAACCCCATGGCGCCCGCCATGGTGGGTGCCGCAAGTGCAAAATGCTGAATTTCTAGGTTTTCGTCTGTTTTCACTCCTTTTTCGCTCCTTTTCCCGATTCAAGCTCCGATTATTATAAAAACCTGAAAACATAAGAAAACAAAGCAATAACAAAGCAAAACAACAATAAAAGCTAAGAATGCATGCGAAATCGGAGTCAGAAATACGGTGAATTTTTGTGTGATCAACTGCCCACCTTCGAAAGAGCTGGTCAAATCCACTTTCAGGAGATCACGGGACAGTTGGACTAGGGTGAAGACCACGTTCTGGTCTTCACTACGCCATGTAAGCCCTAGCAGTCACTTAGGTTGGGCCTCACCATCCAACCCAACTCAAATGACCGTTGGCCCTGTGTTGGGGTCTACCCTCTTTCACAAGAGGGTCAGGTAATCTCTTCTTACCCCTTTTTCTGTACTTGTGATCACTCTGCCCATACGCTTACTTTAGCATCGGAGTGCCTTGCAGGTACACCCCCTTCTCTTCTTCAACATTGGTGAACAGGCAGTAAGTCGTAGACGCGTGGCATCCAGCAATTCCCTTCTGATCAGGTCAGATCAAGTTATCTTTGATTAAGTAGTCCATTCACTTATTTGAACCCCTGTCTAGTTAAATGATCGAAAACATTTGATTACTAGATAAGATTGATCCTTTGTACTGACACTACATTGGACAACTCAAGATAAACTCAAGACTTCATACTCAAGTCAATACAAGTCAGACAGAACATTATAGACAGACTGAACATTGGACTACTGTTCAAGCATAACAAAAATATTCTTCAATACTTGTCAGTAACAATGCGAATTGTGCACCACGAGTCTTAAGAAAAGAAGAAGGATGAGAGAGATTATTCTTATCCTTGTTCTGAGTACCTCTGTATACTAGATGTAGACTCTAATTATTCAGAGTATTAGCATCCGTTCATAGACTTTAGTGCAATTCAAATCAAGTGATTGACAAGTCTTTTTCCCCACATTCAACAAATAACACTTCAACAATGCAACAATATTCTTCAATAGTACTCTTCTCTTAAGATCAAACACAATCCTTTTTTACATCCATACTCTCTTTGGATTAATCACATTCTCTTAGGTTAAACACTTATCTCTGAACTAAACCTTCTTCTCTTGCGAGTTTGCTATGTTAGTCTCATACTTTGGGCAACCTCTTTCCGTTCATGTCTGTCTTGTTAATTCCATATTTGCCATGTTAGTCTCATTCTTTAGAAAACCTCTTTTTGCTCAAGTCTGTCTTGTTAGTCTAATGTTTATACAGACCCTCTCGCATATTTTCCATGTTAGTCCCATGCTTTGGAAAATCTTCGTCCTTTCATGTTTATCTTGTTAGTCTCATGCTTAAATAGACCTTTCCTCAGTTTACGACTCTTTTACAATTCAAGCAACTTCTTTTTCTATTCAATCAACTCTTTGTTTTCTTTTTGTCACTCAAACCTTTTGCAAAACAACTTTTCATTTTATAAAAGAACTATTATAATTTTTTCCTTAATAGTCAAACTAAAAGCTTGAAACATCCAACGAAGGATTAAGTCAGCTAACGTCTAGACACTTCTTGGATACAATTATAATTGTTCTTCTAAAAACAACCAACACACACTTATTTTATACTCCGAACCACGAAACTCTAATTTTCTCATTGCACTATGAGGATACGTAGGCACAAGGACCCCAATCCTCCACGAGCACACTAATTATAAACATTTTTTCCTATTCGCAAGTAACCTTTAGATAGTAACACCCATCCATGCAAAGAACAAGAAAAGTAGTTCTCGTCAAGTACGACGGATGTAAGGGATGCTAATACATTTTCCTCATGTAACCGACTCCCTTACTCGTTTTTCTTTCCCTAGGTTGCGAAATCCCCTAACCTAAAACTAACATTCTCCTTCTTTAATCCTTTTCTTTTTTAAATATCAAGTAAATAAAAGCAATTAGAAATTAACATACAAACTTTAGGAAATAGACATACTAAACCTTAGACTAGAGAAGGTTCTCGTTAGGTACAACGAAGGTGAGGGATGTGCTTAACACATTTTCCTCACTTAACTGACTCTCGCGAGTCTATATTCGGTTGCGATGACTGTCTTATCAATTCTTTTAAAATTTTATCATTATTTTATCTATTCTTAATGGTAGTGACTCTGTAATTTTTCTCGCCGTAACATAATATTTTCAAAAACCATTCCTATTTAATCTACATAAACTTACACATGCAAATAATAAAAAACATTCTCACCTATCAAAATGTTTGATTCCTTTTCAAACTTTAAATACTTAAATAAAAAAATATTAATCAACCCTTTGATCGCGTCTAACTATTTAGGATTTTTAATATATTTAATATTATACTAATAACCTTAAAATATAAAAATACATCCAATAAAACAAATTAACCAACCCAATACAAAAATAACATTAACTAATTAATTTCTACGATTGAATCATCTGATTAAAAATGAAATATTATTATTCGAGTAACTATAATATAATGTTAGAAAATAAAATATTATTATTCGAGTAATTATAATATAATATGGGAAAATAATCATATGTTAAAACCAAATTATATTTATTTTTCATATTTAAATATCAAAATTAAAATTAATAATTAATCATTATCTAATGACATTACCGGTAAAACTTAACAAAATAAATATTAAAAAGAATGTTGAAAAGAGATTGTTCCTAGCTTACTCATTTTCTAATTCAATTGAAGAGTTTAGATTCAAATCATATTCTAAACATATTCTCCACGAATTCAAAATTTATATTTTAGATATAACATTGAGAACACAGCTGACATGAGTTATTGGCCTGAAATCTTCAAAATGTTGAGGGTTGTTAATCTTCGGCACCAGCGATATGAAAGAAGACACGAACATCTTTAGGATAAAACCTGTCTTGAAAAATTCTAGGATACAGCTCGTGAAATCCTGGCCAACTATATCCCAGCAAGATTTGATGAATTTAATATTAAAACCATCGACACCGGGGCACTTGTTACCGTCACAACTGAACACATCCTTTCTCACTTCAGCAGAACTGAAGTCTGCTTCCAAGAATAATTTGCGCTCCTCTTCAAGACAAGCAACCAAGTCAAACTCGCATCTAAACTTAGACGAGTCTAGTTGCAGATATCTTTCCTTAAAAAACTTCAGGGCTTCAGACTTAATACCCTCAGGTTCTTCCTCAATTCTACCTCCCATTCTAACAGCTGATAAACGATTCAAACGATTCCTAGATTTTAAAGAATCATGAAAAAAATTTGTGTTTAGATCCCTGTCTTGCAACCATCTTATCCGGGATTTATGGGCTAACATACTTTCTTTGAGCCTAAGGTTCTTCTACATTTCCTCCTGGTATCGCAGCCTCTCCCTATCCAATTCTGCAGCTTGGGAGTCTAAGTCCACAACAGAATCCAACTCAAGCTTGTTGAAATTTTCAATATTATCCTTAATCTTTAGCTCTAGCCATCCAAAAACAATGTAGTTCCAATTCCTGAGATCAGTTTTAAGGGCTTGAAGTTTTTTAATCAGGATATTGCAGGAGGTTCCTGTGAAGAGATACGAGTTCCACAATTTCATGACAAAAGGGATGAATTCCTTGTGAGAGAACCAGTAGTTAAAGGTCCTAAAAGGTTTAGGCCCCCAATTGAAGAAGTTAGACTTCAACCACACAGGTCGATGATCGGACACATCTCTATCTCCCACCACTTGATTCTTCAAGGATAACAATGAAATAGCCCGATCATCAACCAAAATTATGTCCAGTCTGCTTCTGCACTTACCATTAGAATTGAGCCATGTGAACCGATTTCCAAAAACCGGAAGATCCATCACATTCAATGCTTCGATGAACTCACTAAAATCCTTCATATCCCTACTACTGTTACCACTTAAACCTTTCCTTTCCTCCCCATTTTTCACCGCGTTGAAATCCCCCCCCCCCCCCCCCCCCCACAATCCAACCAACACCAGAAAAATTACTTTTGACTCTAATTAGATCTCTCCGCAGATTCCTCTTTTCAGCTGATCCACAGGGGACATAAACATTGATCACAATCAAACTTTGATTATTCCAAACAATGTGCAATCCCAAGAAACCTTTACCCATGAAAACTTGAGCAAGCTGCGATTCTAGTATTATTCCCCTTACTTAATTGACTCTTGAACCCATATTCGATTGTGATGACCATCTTATCAATTCCTTTAATTAGGGTTTTAACATTTTTTCTCTATTCTTAATAGTAGCGACTCTGTAATTTTTCAATCGCAAAACAATATTTTCAGAAACTTTTCCTGTTTAATCTACATAAACTTACACCTGCAAATAATAAAAAATATTCTCACCTTCTAAAAAATGTATCAAAAGGTTTGATTCCTTTTCAAACTTTTAATAATTAAATAAAATACATATTATAAATTCCTTTGATCGCGTCTAATTATTTAAGATTTTTAATATATTCAATATTATACTAATAACTTTAAACTATAAAAACACATTCAATAAAAAGAAATTAACCAATCCATTACAAAAAGAATATTAAATAATTAATTTTTTCGATTGAATCATCTGATTAAAAATGAAATATTATTATTCGAGAAATTATAATATAATATTGAAAAATAAAATATTATTATTCGAGTAACTATAATATAATATTGGAAAATGATCATGTGTCAAAACCAAATTATATTTATTTTTCATATTTTTCATATTAAAATTAATAATTAATAATTAATCATTATCTAATGGCATTACTAGTAAAACCTAACAAAATAAATGTTAAAAAGAGTGTTGAAAAGAGATTGTTCCTAGCTTACTCATTTTCTAATTCAATTAATTCTAGCAGGATACTACTGGCCATCGATGTAAGAGGACGCGAGAGAGCACGTCAAGAAATGCGACAGATGCCAACGACACGGGGACATGCACCTCGCCCCACCGAGCGAACTCAAATCTATATCCTCCCCTTGGCCGTTCGCTTGGTGGGGGATGGATATCCTCGGTCCCTTCACCTTAGGCTCATATCAGAACAAATATCTGATCGTAGGCGTCGACTACTTCACCAAATGGATTGAGGCCGAAGCCCTTGCCAAAATCACGGCCCACACCATACTCCGATTCTACAAAAGAAATATCCTCAAAAGATTCGGTGTCCCACTCGCCATCATCACCGACAACGACACGCAGTTCACCGACAAAAATTTTCGGGACTTCATCACCAAACTCGGGACCAAGCATCACTTCACCTCGGTCGAACATCCTCAGACAAACGGCCAAGCCGAATCTGCGAACAGGGTGATACTCAGAGGACTAAAGCGAAGACCATGCGATGCCAAGAGAGCGTGGGTCGAGGAACTCCACAGCGTCCTATGGGCATACTGAACCACACCTCACTCAACCACGGGGGAAACACCATTCCGCCTCACTTACGGAACCGAGGCGGTGATCCCGGTCGAGATGCGAGAGCCGTCCAGACGAGCTGAGGCTCCCCTCAAGGTCGAGGACAACGACGACACCCTCCGAGAGGAGCTCGACCTAGTCGAAGAAATTAGGTCGGGGACAGCTCTTCGAGACGCCCGGCTGAAACAACAGGTAGCACTTTGCCACGACAACAGAGTCCTGAAACACGAGTTTCAGATCGACGACTTAGTCTTGCGCAGGAACCAAAAGGACTATCGTGAAGGCAAACTAGCGGCGAATTGGGAAGGCCCATATCGTGTTTGCGACAAGACGGAACACGAGGCCTATTACCTTGAAAACCTACACGGGCAACAACTAGCTCGACCATGGAACACCGAAAAGCTGAAAAGGTACTACAGTTAAACACTGCCCGCGGCGCCCAGGCATCGCGACCACCGGGGGGCGACATGGTACCACCACACCTCCTCGCCTCTCCTAGAGACCAACAAAACAGCAAACCCTGCCTTTGTGTACGCAGGCAGAAGGCTCTGCTCGACGGAGAATCCCTCGATCGAGACTCCCCGTCGCCGTACCAGCATCGGCAGGACACCTAGCTCGCGATGGGACGTTCACGCCATAGGGAGAAACTACCCCGAAAACGGCCAGGTAACAAAACCGGCCAACTGACCAGTTCTCTACACTACCGGAAACAATTATCGTCGAGCTACCTCCCCGGATAAGCCCAAGGGCATAACAAACATGCATTTTAAACATACAAACATATATTTCGAGCATACAAAAGTGTAGAAATAAAATGAGCATAACACCATGCAAAAACAAAACAAAGCGCACACGTAAACAAATTTCCAAAAGTATATCATATAAAAGCGGGCACCAGCCCAGTAGTCAATATTACATCGCCAAGAAGGGCACGCAGGCCCGGCAAAGAAAACAGTTAGAAAAATATACAAATTATTTGGCACGCAAGCCAGAAGACGCGGACACGCACGCCTGGAACTAATCTATGCTCCCTCTTCCCCCTCCACTTCAGGCTCAGCGGGACGGGCATCGAGACCAGCCTCCTCGGTGTTGGGGTCAACCACTCGACCATCAATTATCTCGTGGAAAGGCCCGATGTCGTCCTCGACCAGGGCGACGCCAGAGTTCCCCACCTTAAGTTGTGTGACAGCGCCATTGAAACCCGCTGCAGAGGCCTCCAGACAGTCACCTTCCATCACCCGTATTCTGGAGAGCAGATCAGCCCGGGTGACCATCTTCCTGTCTTCGTTGGTCTCGTCGTCGGCAGGACGGAGGACGCCCACCAACGTCCCCACGCGAGCCTTCAGTGCCCGCACTTCCTCCTCAACGGCCTTCAACCTCTCCTCGACGCTATCCCCCCTCTTGCGCTCACCGGCGATCTCCCCTCGATTCTTCTCCAGCTCTTCAGTAAGTTGGTTCACCCTCCCCCAATTCAGCTCCAGATCCTCGACGGCCTTGTTCAAACGAGACAACGCGAAAGTGAGATCCCCTGTAGCTTAGACAGCTCCACGACCGAACAACTTTCCTCTCTCAGAACCATCGCCGTGGTGAAGGTCCGTATCAGATCAGCCAAATCCTCCGTCAGAACCTGCCTTCGAGTAGCCCTGTCCGCACTTAGGACCGCCTTCGCCTCCCCGACCAGGATGCTGGGCGACCTGGCCCCGTGGAAGTAATCAGGGTGCTGATGGCAGGGCGCGATGGAATAACCCTCCTTAGCAGAGCTCGTCGATAGGTCGACCACGGTCTCCACCTCCAGAACTCTAGGCCTCTTCGGGGCCCCCTGGGATGTGGGTGACTGACTGCTTGGAGGAGACGAGGATCCCCTGCCATCCTGATCAGCGGAAGCCTGCCCGACCAACTGGCCAACCCGCGTCTTCGGAACAGCAAGAACCTTCAACGCGCGCAACTTCTTCACCCGCTCATCGACGGAAGACATATTCCCTGCAAAACAAAGAAAATGGGTCAATAACAGATAAAGAACACCAAGTCAAGTGAGGAAAGAGGCGTCCACCACCCAGATAGAGAAGGGCCTCTGCCTCCGAGGAACACTCGAGCAGGTCTTTTGTATTGATCAACCTCGCGGTCTCGTGGACATTCCCCTAGCTATCGAGGATGTACTGGCCGTCGGGGGTCACCAACTTTGACGGCGGCAGGCTGCGCACGAACAAGACTATCTTCAAATAGCCGGCCATGTCCTCATCGTCGAGGGACCCCGCGCGCACTATATACCGGTCAGTTCCCCGGGAAAAATGTTCCAGAGACCATTCCACGTGCACCCTCAGCAGCATGACGGCTTCCCGCTGGCCGTTCACAATCCGCTCCCCTTCTGAATATAAAGAGTCGACCCCCGCATGCGTGATCTGGCTGACGATGAAGAAGCGGCGCTTGAAATCCCGAACAGATTCCATGTACGTCTTGAAGAGCCTGTTCGGTTGCTTGAACGATACCCATCCGTGCCTGCCATCCACCGTCTGCCACTGCAGATGGATGATGCGAAAGAATAGAGGCAGCGTGACGCCGACCTCGAATTCCCGAATAAAAGACAAGGCATTTGGATGCAGCTACGAGGGGGCCAACCTCAACCAGTCAAAGAGGCCCAGGTGCAAGTCTGAGAATGGCAGCCTGAGCCTGGCCTCTTTAAAATAGAACTCATACATCAGGAATTGCAGCCTCCCGTACTTCGAGCATATACGGTGACGTTCCCGAGGACGGTAAACTTGCCAATTCTGGGGGTCACCTTCTTCCCGGTCCTCCACGGTGGCGTAGACTCCCGTCGGGTCAGAAGCGAAACAAGAAGGCATGGACAGAGGCTCCTCGACCACCCACTCCTCGAGGGGAAGAACGCGCTCGTCGAAGTATGGAACGTCTGACTCATTGTCCTCGACCATTGACCCCGGGACAAACGTAGTCATTAACACCTGAAAAGTAGAAGGTAACGGTGAATTCGATGACAAAGATCAAATTCACCCTTCCACCGCAAGTCAAGTGAAAGGGCGACGAGGATAAACTGAGCATCGTCCTCGGTGGCTTTATCCAAATCCTACCGTCTCCCCAGGACACCTACCTAATCTAATATACACACTCTCCCCCGGGAAGTTCATCAGAATAAGCGTGTCTCCCCGGGGAGTTCATCGGAGCAAGCATCTGTCCTCGGGGCATTCATCGGAATAGGCGTTTTTCCTCGGAACGCTCACGATAAAACCCTAGAAAGCCCCGCCTACAGCGGCGGAGATCCACACCACTCCTCGGGGCACTTAACATGCCCCGACCACGGTCCTAAAACAAACGGGAAAAACAAAAGAAAGGAGAAGAAATACTTACTATGTTTCGATCTGCGGCGGAGTGTAAGACGGCTGCTGCGACGGAGATATCAGACGGTAGCGAGGCGGCAGACCAGAGAGATTGAGAGCAAGAAGGAAAAAAGTGGAGA